ATGGCTTCCTGTCTTACATTTAGGTCTTTCATCCATTTTGAGTTTATTTTGGGGTATGGTGTAAGAAAGTGGTCCAGGTTCATTTTTCTGCATGTCACTGTCCAGTTTTCCCAGCACCACTTGCTGAAGAGACTGTCTTTATTCCTTTGGATATTCTTTCCTGCTTTGTCAAAGATTAGTTGGCCATACGTTTGTGGGTCCATTTCTGAGTTTTCTATTCTGTCCCATTGATCTGACTGTCTGTTTTTGTGCCAGTACCATACTGTCTTGATGATTACAGCTTGTGATACAGCTTGAAGTTCGAATTCCCAAAGTTTTAATACGTTTTTGTAATAAGGTTGTCACGTGACATTCTGATTATTAAAGTGTTATGTATCACAGAAATAACCAAATATCCTTGTCAATTGCATCATAACAAACTCTCATCAGGTTGTTAACCATGTCTGTTTTTGAGTTTTGTCACTTATAATTATTGTACTTATTCTCTTACAAAACATGTTTCCTCTTCCAGGAGATTTATTAAAAGGGCTTTTAGGACAAATTCAGGTATTTGACAGCTTTAAAAATCCTAAAACTAAAATAGGTAAGAGTGTCCAGAACTAAAAAGCTACACTTGAACTGAACAACAATTAGTAATATGGGACTAAATGAACTGAGAAATGTTATAGTTTTTGTGACCCTTGTTGAAAACATTGCTAGATCTCTAATGTTTGCTCTTCCAGATTAAGGAAACCTTCTCTTAAAATATGTATAATGTACAGAAATGTGATAAAATATTCCTCTATAAATAAATGGAAACATTTAACTTTTCTCTCTACCTGAACCCTCTGAAATTCAAATGTCTCAGTGAGTATACTTCCACAGCCATCATACTTACCTGCGTAAGTTCAGTGAGAATCTGTCCTCCTTGTAAAAGACACCATTGAGAATACTGTTCATTTTACCAAGGTTTTGACTGGAACGTCCTATTTGAGAGAAATGCATAGACCCTGATATGACTATATGGCTTTATGGAACTAAGGTTGACTTTATGAAACATGGAGCAAATAAAGCCCCTTGGGAATGTTGGCCTGATGCCTTGCTTACAGAGTTCTGATCAGACTTACCAGATGAGTAAAGAATGTCACTTCTGGGCAGATGCAGGGACCTCAGGATATCTTGGGGACCTTGTGGAGAGGAATTGCCCAATCTACAAGTATTGCAGGCCTGTATGATGGAAGTACTTGACTTGGCTTCTGGCCTGGAGAGGCCAATCTGTTCAGTCTCCAGTTCAATCTGGAGATTCCTTATAAAAGGTTTCAGCAAAGCAAACTTTAAAAGATCCTTAGGATCAATCACTATTCTTGGTGAGGTTATGTAAATCATTAGGCAAAGTTTCTTAAAACTGGACTTGTTTTGTAAAGGAATTAGGCTTGATTTGGCTCTTTCTGGAAATGAAGGTTTTAGAGAGGAAAAACTATATTTCCGTAATGCAGCTTTCTGGATGTTGAATTGTAGTTCTGATTGTCTTTAAATGTTTGCTGTTTGCCTAAACTACACAACTCGAGGTAAACTTCAGAAAAATTGTCATAATATTTCATATATAGAAAATCTTCTGTGCTTGTTATTCAGTGGAGATAATAATAAGTCCCCGTGGGCATATGATTATTTAAATAACTGGAAAATGGGATGGATTCCCCCAATAACTGTATAAAGACTATAGTGCTTTACTATTCACTGGAGGCCAGGTTAATTCCTAAATCTCTAAATATGCCAACCATATCCTCCCTACACCTGATCTGACAGTTACTAGAAACCCACCCTATATAAACCCAAAATACCTAGTTTATTTAAAAGATTGAAAGTCTAATACAACAGTGGGTTTAACTTCAAACTTGAAGAGTCCCCACTGGGTCATATTATATACTCCCACTGCAATAAAGTTGGAAGGGAACAATTCATGGGCTCCTATATTTAAAATAAAACCTGTACCCCCTTCACAGGAATTAACAAGCAAATGAATGTGCCTTCTTATTCCTGTCAACCTGTGGAAGACCTCATATTTCTCTGAGGATGGTTGTACCTTTCTTTTTCATCTTCCTTTCCCAGTTTCTACTAACAATTTCTTCTTACAATGGGCCATTCAAAAGGATCACCACAGACATTTGAGTTACAAACCAGAAAGACCAATCTAATTCCTGCTGCCTATTCCCACAAGCATCCAAGGATACTTCAAGTCTAACATCTAAAAAATCTCACTGTCAGCGCTGAAACACACTGGGTTTGTAATCTGCTGTAAGCATCAGCCTGTATTTTTTTTTCTATAAAAGTACCTCTTTTTAATTACCTGATTGCTTACTAAACAAAACAGAGTCTATATGATGGCTATATACCATTTGTTACACAGTTAAGGCCTTAAATAACTCTTAATATTATATAAATAAATACTAAAATTGATAAGGAAAAATCTGTTATAAAATGGCCTACATGACTCATAGGGGAATTCCAATCCCCGATGGAAGACTCCCCTTCTGAGTTTTTCTTCCCACCCAGCTTGCTGCATTCACCAAATTACTACTAATGCAGAATGCAGAAGGAACAGGCTATAAATTGTCCCCTCTGCTTATGCTCTGGACTCAGACCTCTGGAGAGTTATCTCCTCTGAGCCCACTGGTGTGAAATAAACCTCCTGCCTTCCAAGATCTCTGAGGGCCACTTGGTTCTTCTGCTGGGTGATCCAGGCCACTTTCCATAACATTTGGTTCCCTGACCAGGAAACCCAACTGCACTGGCACATTGTTGCCACTGGTTTGGGAAAATAGCGAGGTGGTGACAGAACGAGGAATCGCAACGGAGAAGGCGTGCCCTGCCTGATCTTCTGCAGTCTCCCGCTCAGTCCCCTCAAGCTGGCCCCGCTCCGCCATTTGCCAGATGCGAGGACACTTGGCAGATGAGGACCTGGACCTGACATCAGATACCGGTAAGGCCTGGGACCCAGTTCAGTCTGGCCCACCTATAGTGGTAGAAGGGGGACCTGATCATGCCCCAGAGACCTCAGTGGTCTCACAGGTAGGAATTGTGGTATGGTGCCCCAATTCAGTCCATCCCACCCATAGGGGTGGAAGAGGGACCTGGTCATTCCCTGGAGACCTCAGAGGTCTTACAGGTAAGGAGCCCCAATTCAGTCTTCCGCCCCATAAGGGTGGAAGGGGGACCTGATCACTCCCCAGAGACTTCAGTGGTCTTACAGGTAGGAATTAAGTCCGACCGACCCACAGGGGTGGAAGAGAGACCTGATCAATCCCCAGAGACCTCAGAGGTCTCACAGGTAGAAATTCTGTGGGAGGGAATGTAATAACCTCTGGTGTCTATGTGAGTGTGAATGTGTGACTTGGTCTGGCTTGCCTGCTGAGTTCAATACTGTGGCTCCACAGGTGGGCACCCTTAAGATCCCCAAAAGCCCACGGAGTCTGAATGGGCCCATCTGCGATTCCGTGGTGAACGGCACACAGATTATGGTGGCATCGGAATAGTTTCCGATTGAAAGTCACAAAGCTGAGACTGCTACGGCTAAGCATTACCTAAGTTCCTTTGGGACATAGCCAGATGGGCATCTGACTGGTCTCCTCATTAGAGGGGGCACTCCTACCCTTCTGTCTGTCTTTGTGACTCTGTCTCACAGGAACATTATGGGGTCAGAACAGAGCAAAGAAGGGGTTTTCGGGAGACTATGGAATTAAGATACCCCCCGGCAAGTTAAGGAATCTATGTGAGTTAGAATGGCCCACTTTTGGTGTAGGATGGTCCTCAGAGGGAACTTTAGATGTCCCAACGGTCCTCTGCATCTGGCATGTTGTCACCAGAGACCCAGGTTATCCTGATCAGTTCCTGTATATCGATTCCTGGTTAAAGATTACCCAAACCCTACCCCCTTGGGTGAAATTTACCTGCAACAAACAGGGACAGGCTAGGGTCTTAGTCACTTTGACAAAGTGGCTCAAGGAAGGTCAACAGAAGTCCTGACCTCCACAAATTCTTGCCAGTGATCCAGAGGAAGAACCAATCTTGCCCTCACGATATCAATCCCCCAGTTCCTGATACTCTGTCACCTTCAGTCTCCCCACCACCTCTGGACTTGGAAGATCCTCTCTCCCCCAGACCATCGGCCAGATTGTGCCCTCAGCCAGGTGCAGGCAGTCTCCATATGCCAGTCCACAGCCACCAGTACCAGAGGCTCTCCTCCGGGGGATCCGAGCAGGGACAAAGAAGCCCACTAATATGCTCAGCAGCAAGGAGAATCCCCCAGGGATTACTATGAGATGCTATGCAAGGCTTACACCCAGTTTGACCCTGAGGCACAAGAGAGCCACCACAAAAGGATGGGAAGGAAGGTCCAGCCACCAAAAGGGAGGAGGCCCAAAACCTCCTTAGCAAGGGATAAGTGCGCCTACTGCAAGGAGAAAGGACATTAAAAGAATAAATGTCCCAACCGGGGAAAGTCCCAGAAACCCAGCCGACATGCACAAGAACCCTGCAAAAAAGACCTCATAGGCCTAGCAGGAATAGATTCAGATTGAGGGGGACCAGGGTTGTTCTTGGCCCCTATGAGCCCATGGTCAAAATAAAAGTAGGGGATCAAACTATGATGTTTATGTGAACTCAGGGGCCACACGGTACAACATGAGTTCCTCTACCTACCTGAGTGCCCTATCCCTCTCCTCAGCCAGTATATACTCTCAAAGCTGGGGGCCCAAGTAACCTTTGAGCCAACAGGATGCACCAACCTCTGATTGGATCCAAGTGGAGGCTATTCTGCACCCAGGCCCAACCAAGTGGCCCACCCAAATTCAGGACTGCCTTCTCCACTGTATGGGCCGAGGACAACCCCCCTTCCCGGACTCGCCCACAAGGGGCCTCTGTCATTGTAGAGTTAATCCCAGGGGCTCACCCACAGAGACAGCGGCAATACCCCCTCTCACAAGAGACAAGGGCAGGCATCCAAGAACACCTGACCAGACTCAAAGAAGCAGCCATTCTGGTTGAATGTCAACCACCCTGGAACACTCTGCTCTTGCCAGTCAAGAAGCTGGTAGGAGGGTACCGACCAATTCAAGCTCCTTGTACCCCGTGGTCCCGAACCCTCCTCAGCCATATCCCAGGCTCTACCAGATGGTTTACTTGTCTAGACTTAAAGGATGCCTTCTGCCTCTGCTTGGCCCCCCAGAGCCAACATTTGTTTGTCTTCAAATGGACTGAACCAGACCCAGGGCATCAGATGCAACTGACTTGGACACACCTCCCACAGGGGTTTAAAAATTTGCCTACCCTCTTTTGGGAGGCACTGGCCAGAGATTTTGCCAGCTTTCCAAGGGAGGTCACATGCTGCACCTTCTCCAGTATGTAGATGACTTCCTCATTGTCAGCTATACCCAAGAAAATTGTACAGCGGGAACAAGGGCCCTCCTCCAACTCCTGTCAGACTCAGGGTATCAGGTCTCATGAAAACAAGGTACAGATCTGCCAACAGCAAGTCCAACCCAAGGAAAAAGAGCACCAGGGCCAGAGAGAAAGAAGGTCATCACCTCTCTACCTCAGCCCCAAACTAAGAGGGGGTTACGAGAATTCCTTGGGGCTGCAAAATTCTGCCAAATCTGGATTCCCAGATTCTCAGCAATAGCAAGACCCCTCTATAATCTCTTGGTAGGACTGAATTGAGAACCACCTGTCTGGACAAAGGAGGCTAAAGCTGCATTCCTAGAGATAAAGGCCACCTTGGGG